GAATTGCTACCTAATTAGAAAGCAATAATGATGCCAGACCCAATGGAGCATCCCGTAGAGACTCACGGGAAGTCTGCCTAAGCAAGTCCAAAGCAATTTTCCTGCCTTCTCCATATGTTTTTGAGGTCCCACTCCAGCAATGCAATATATCCACCAATAATTCTGACTGATTTTCCACAGTGCAGATGACTGTGCTGACTCTTCTAAGCAATTATGGGGGAAAAAAAGAAGCCTGATCTTACTAGAAATTAAGAAAAGTGATTTTAAGGTGATCAAAATATATTGCCCAGATGTTTGTACATGTTACTTTCAGGGGCCTTCTACATTAACTTTATCCACAGGAATTGAAATTATAACGCTGTAATTTTTTTTTAAAAACAACGGCCGCGTTTGGGAAATTTTTTTACAAATTATTTCAAAAAATATTAGCCTTTTTTATATTATTGATATTTCTATTTAGGATTTTGATCATTAGTTGCATATAAAACAAGTAGCATTTACTATCAAAAAGACAATATTAGTCAAAAGACAAAGTCTTTTTAACATTTTTATCACTGTAACTGCAAGTTTTGTTTTAAAATAAAACACAGAAAACCTACCTTGCAATTACCACAGAATACTAAACTTACAAGGCAACATTTTCTCAGACAGCTTGCAAGCATCTATTTCTCTTTCAGATACAGGAATAGCAACATTACCCAGGTTCTTACAGATTGACACAAAATTTGTACGGTAATTGTCTCTGTCTCACAAACGTTCTGAATAAATGGGGTAAGAGAATGAACACAAACAGATATCAAGGTATGCACATCCAGAGTTGCCCCATCCCAGGTGCAGAATTCATCACTTATCTTTGTTAAACTTCACATGGTTGGTAGTTGACCAGCCCTCTAATTTGTCGAGGTCTCAACCAGGCCTCCCTGCCTTTGAGGGAGCCAACAGCTTCTCCCAGTTTTGCATCATTTGCAAACTTACTCAGTACTCCTTCGAAGCCTGTGTCCAAGTCATTTATGAAGATATTGAAGAGCACAGGGCCTAAGATGGAGCCCTGTGGAACCCCCCCACCAGTATCAGGTCACCAGTCTGATGTTACCCCATTCACTCTGACGCTTTGTGCCTGTTGCTCATCATATGATGTGTTTACCCAGCTGTGTGCTGGCCATCTGGTTCAGAAGGATACGGGGAGAGACGGCATCGAAAGCTTTACTGAAATCCAAATATCTAATAAGTAATTGTTATATCTCCAATGAACACAGGTGCAACCTTACAGTGTGTGTATAAGATGTACTTCCAATTTCCACAACACACTTGAAAAAGAAACAATATTTTCTAGAATTAGGAGAAAATCATTACCTGATGAAACATAGAGTAATCCATCCGACACAGGGATTACCAAACAAAATGAGGATTGAATCACGGAGTTACACAGAAGAGTTGTTTTTATCACCATGCTCAGCACTTTTTCTCAACAACTATAAATATTAAGAGCATCAATACTATTCATTTGTCCCAGAGCTGACTCCTACAGAATCGGGTCAGTACTCTCCTAATTTTTCTTGATAACAATGACACAGACCTAGCCTAAAATCAGAAGAGTGAATGTTCTCTGCATATGGGGCCAGAACTGTACTTTCTAGTAAATGAATGACATTTTTATCTTGTTCTCGTAGACCTGCAAACACAGAATACTTTACTGGAATACAGATATTCCTCATATACAGCATTTTTCCACTTCCAAACAAAGAAATAACGTATCAATCTGTCTGCTATCAATTCCATTCCCATCATTCTGACATCACAAGTCCTATGATAAAGGGGAAAGCAGTCTAGAAGCAATGTGGAAAGTTGAAAAATGAAATACAGCCTCTATTTTGCATAAATCACTGTCTGTAGTTTTTAAGTTTTAACCATAAGCCTAATCCAAACAAAAAGCTCCCTATAAACTTTAGCAGAGTATAGTTCAAAACTTGAAACTGCCTATTTGCTTATTGTCTCCGTAGGAATTCTGTAGCTCATAGCAGTGGTCTCCAAAGTAGGGAGGGCGCACAAGGGAAAAAAATATTAGAGCTTGAGTAGTTCATGTATACAGCTGATAAAGGAATAAGTACACATATACTGGAAGGGTGCGCTCAAACCCCTTTTACTAGTTGGGTTGCACAATCAGAAAAAGTTTGGAAACCACTCGCATATAGCATGGCTAAAGAAAAAAAAATATGTTTCAATGTTTCAGTCCTTTAGAAGAGACAAAGAATGCTAAAGTACCTTTCTGATACTGGGTTTGGTTTATAAATTGCAATCCATCTGAGAAACAAGGGCAAGAAAGAAGAAAGGTTATTCAAGGTCTTAAAAGTGTTCCCAAGGGTAAACTTTTAGTCCCACTGTGTTCAGTTCCCAACTATCAACAATTTTCACTGCTTTCATAAACACCAGGTTTTCACAGAGATTTTTGACTAGAGAGTATTAAGATGCATGGGGGTTTTCAGTAGGATGAAGTTCTTACTGAGACTAAATACTGTAGTATAATAGAGCCTTTAATCTACTCAGAAAGCAAAATTTACAGTGCAAAACAGTATGAAAGTATAGCAAGTGCTGAAATCAAAATTTCAACTATTTTATAGCACCATTCTCTACTGTTTCATGAGAAAATGGGGCTACTTTTGCAGTAAAATTTTTGTTTCGAGACAAAAAAATATGTATCCAAAAGTTTAGTAAGCTGTCATTAGCTTTCATTGATTTAAATTAATTATCTACAGCTCAACAGAAGCTAAAGGAAAATCTTTCCTGACAACTTAATCAAGGTTTATCAGGTCAATTGCTGAACTTGGAAAGATTGCACTGACTTAAACCAACACTTTTTCATCCATTCATCCAAAAGGCCTTAGTAACATTCCAGAATGAATGACAAAAAACGAGTGGGGATAGATTAGTTAGGAAATCAGTATCAGAATTGCTGTAACTTTTTATTTTTTTTGTGTCACAGATTTCCTGTTTTCTCCTTTTACACTATCAGCATTTCTGTTAATATAAATCTATATTCAAATACAAACAGGGGTAGTTCTGTATACTAAGAGCTGTTCCATCAAATAAGAAAATAGTAAGATAAGATAAAAAAAAAATAATTCAGCTTATATCTCCATATGCCTGAATACCGTTGAGGGCAATAAGAATTCATATGGAAATGTATACAGCACCAAAACATTTAGAAGCTTACTGCTGAGAGTTACCCCTGTTTACTAGAGGGGCACTCTGTATCACAGTGGTTTATCACAAGACAAACACAAAAGACATGCTACAGTTAAAGCAGAAGGTATAAGGTTAATTTAAAAAACACTAATGTAAGCTATTTATTCTGTGTTATGACAGTTCTGCATTACAATCAGGTTACTGCAACATGTTACTAGATTACAGAAGAAACAAACTTACTAAGCTACCATTAGGACATCTTTAAGCTACTCCATCCTATGTAAAACAACTTTCCTTCTTTTTCTCCAACAGTGCTAAAAAAATAAAAGTGTCCCTGATGGCTTAGACATGATCAGAAAAATTTTGATAAACTGTTTGAAACAGTAAATATGAGAGGCTGCATGGCTGTGGCCAAAACAACAACAACAACAAAGTTACTAACAAAGGGTGCACTGGGGAAGCGGAAAGAATTAGATACTGGCAGTCTGCAACAACAGAAAAGTAAACAAAATGGGAATCAAGGTGTAAAATATCAAACAGAAATATGATGATATGAAATAAGAAACTACTGTGTAGTAAAAGCTGCGTAACTAGAAATGAAATAAGAACAAAGGGGCATTTGAGAATGATTTCAAGAGAGAAATAAGTGATACAACTGAAACTTTCAGTTATAGCAGACAAAAAGAAAAGGGCATGAGCACATACATCAGATACCTTTTTCATTTCAAGCCTGACAGCACCATGCATTCAGGCTTACATAATTTAGGATGAGAAAGCTGCTCAAAATACAGAAATTGAACTCACAAGTCAAAACAGCAACCGTGAAAGAAAGTCAATGCTTTCTATTTATTTATTTGTCCTTGCAGGAGGAAATATACATTTACACAGAAATACACAAATTCCCACTAAACACTCAACAAATAGTGAATCATTTAAAAATAACTCAAGAGATGCTACTTACAAAGAAATATTTAAGAAATCAATAAGAAGAACACTTTCTTTAATATATTTACTTTCCTTGGGTTCATTATAACATAAAGCAAACATTCCAGGCACAGGGAATTCTTTTCCCTTCTATAAGTGAAACTTATGTGCTATGAGAGTCATTAATCATTTTGCCCCAAAAACTTCAGCTAGTTTAGTTCCTCTACCTGATGAAAATGGGGGGCCCTGAATTCCCAAAATTATTGTCCTGATTTGAGGTTCTTTTAAACCCAAAACCATTTCAGTGAACATTCAACTTCTGACGGCTCCTGACCACCAGTTGAAGGCTTCGCTCCTTCTGCTATGCTCGAGGTCCGAGGCACTCTGGCTGCTACCCCAGGTATGGTACAAGACACGCATGCCCCCGGCTTGGCAGGACGATGCTCCCAGACAGAAGCACCACAAGTACCGCAGGAGGAAAAGAGCACAACTTCGACGTGAGCTGGGCCTCCAGTTTGAACAAGCAAACAAACTAAAAAAAAAAAACAACCAACCCGAGAACAACCAAACCCCACCTCGCCTTTTGAAACCCCTTTTAATTAAGCACCCACATAAGCAAGCAGACTTTGTCAGCACCAGCTATGAGCACGCACAGGACTACGGGCCCGCACCCGGGTCTGCCGGTGCCATGGCGACAGGGCCGCCACGCACAGGTGCACACGGACGACGCCTCCCGGTCCCGAGGAAGGGAAGCCTCGGAAAAAAGTTTCTAGCCGGCCAAGAGGGCACCCCGGCCGGGCATCCTGGTGTGTTTCCCGGCGCGCCCCCAGTGTCCGGGCAGGCGGCGGGGACAGCCCTGCTCCCGCGCCCTCCCTCCCTCCCGGGGCTCTCACTGTTTGGGGGAGCCGCTGGTAGGGCCGCCGAGATCCTTCTTCTTGCTCCCCTTGGAGGCCATGGCCGCGGCGCTGTCCCGCCGCGTCCGCCGCGTTGTCCGGCAACCCCGCCGGGCCGTGGTGGCGGGTCTGGCGCCGCCCCAGCGCTACCCCGGTGCCCCGCGGGAGAGGCCCGGCGGGTGCCCCGCGCAGGAGCGGCCGAGCCGGTCCTCGCTCCGGGTCGGCGGGGAGAGCCCGGACGCCATCCTCACCGCCTGCTTCAAGTTCAAGGAGCCAAAAACAGGGAGTGAAGTGCCTTTGCGGACAAAGGTTTGGCTTCGAGGGTGATGGTGCATTCCGGTCTTCTGCGGCAGCTTCGAGGATCTTTCCAAAGAAAGTAACTTGTTTGCCAGTGGTACTAAATTAGGAGGAGCTGTCGGCTCTCTCCGAGGTAGGGAGGCCCCGCAAAGAGACCTCGACAAATTAGAGAGATGGGCAATCACCAACCGCATGAAGTTCAAAAAAGCCAAGAACCGGATTCTGCAGCTGGGACGGGGCAACCCCAGATGTAAGTACAGATGGGGAACAAGAGGCTGGAGGGCAGCCTGCGAAAAGGGACCGGAGGGCCCTGGTCGACGGCAAGCTGAATATGAGGCAGCAGTACCCTAGCAGCCTAGAGAAATTTTAAAACTAGATTATGCAAGTTTTTGTTTTCTCTTTTTATTTTCAAATGACGCAACTAATTCCTGATATGAAGCCTATGATTACTAAAGTGAATGGAATTCTACCAAGGTCAGGTAAAACTAACATTAATGTGCTGGCTTTGAATTCAGCAGATAGTTAACTTCATCTTAGTTTATATGCAGAATTTTTCAAATACATGCCCCAGATTACATATTACCAACAGCTCCTATTTCTCCTAACCTACTTGCTGTTTCCCAGTCTTTAGTGAGTGATAAAAAATTCTTTATTCAATTCAGTTTCAGTCTTTTTGAAATATATATTTTTAAAAAAAAAAAAAATCAATGAATATCTATTTGTCAAATTGCAGAGAGCATGAGTAGGTAAATAAGAGGAAAAATATGCAGTCGTTGCTACATCTAGAAGTTTGTTTTAGACAAATGTCAGATATTGATTTATATGAAGATGACAGGCAGCCAGATATATACTCATAAATTTTAAAGCAGAGAATTCTTCCATATCTTGGCATTTCCTTCAGCATTATGTCCAGCAGCATCCATTCTAAATAAGGTACTTTGGGACACTTCTCACTTGGGAGCCAAATAAACATTTCAAGTTTATTTATTTATTTTCAAACTTAACAGTTGGTCTTCTCTTCATACAATTATGCTATCAAATATTTATTAGAGCATACTGATTAAAAAAAAACGAAACAAAAGAACAACAAAAACCCCTAAAACAAACAAAACCCAAACCAAACAAAAAAAAAAAACAAAACAAAAAACAAAACAAAACAACAAAAACAGAACAACAAAAAAAAGAAACAGCAAAGAGAGAGGGGAGTTCAAACATTTGGCTACCTCTTCAGTACCAGCACAGTGCTGTTAACATCCACACCATGCTGGATGCTGATGCCAAGTTGTAGACTGAGCTGGAATTTACAGGACTGAGTTTGTGATGTAAACTGCAGACAAAAACACCTCAGATAATCTGTGATTTCCAGGTATTCCTCTGAATCCCCTTTTCTTTCCTATACTTACTAGGCAGAGAAAATACTATAGAAAAGTATAAAGCATTGGTGTAAGAGGCTACAAGTACTAGTTGGAGACAGCAGAACACTACCAAAACCCTTCTCAGGGGTCTTGCAGTCCAGACTTAACTCTCCTCTGATTTTACAGAAGGCACAAGACTTTCAGAACAAGACAGGAAAAAGTTTTTTGCCTTAAGAGAAGGGCTGGGAGTGTGGTAGGGTTGCAAACCTTAATTAGAAATAGCTGAAGAGTAGGCTGAAGACAATCAGATTCTTCTCAGAGGTGCCAAGTGACAGGATTAGAATCCATGTGAAAACTTAAAACCAGGAAATTTCCGTAGGAATACATGATCTTCCAAGGCCACTTCCAACATTACTTATTCTGTGATTCTGAGAAGTTTTCCATGAAAAAAATGTTAAGGTCAAAATCAGACAGAGGCTTCTATAAGAACAGGTGCTGCATCTTCAAGCATGAGGTTGCAACTAAATTAAGAGATGAAAGGGAAATAAAATTGCTTTTGATTTTCTTTTTGTGTTTTGGAGACTTTTTTTCCCCACTTCTTTTACCAAATGATAGAAAAATTTAGGTTCTGAAACTAATTCATTTAGAAGATCAAAAGAAGGGCACTCTTACTTCCACTACTCTCTTTTGTCTGTTTACTAAGTGAAAGAGTAGGTGGGAGTGATATAAGGAAGGAACAGGTCAGTGGGGAAACTGTAAACGGGGAAGATAGCAGTGCATTGGCATTTCAGGAACAGCAGGCAGTAAAGGATCAGAATAAAAATTGAAGGGTGATCCAAAAAAGGGGAATTGTGAGTGAGAAAATAAAAACCCTGTAGTATGTGATAGAGCTTGAGAGGAGCAGTCTGTGCACAATTAGGAACAGTCACATACTGAGGTGACATAGGCCAAGGAACTGAATTTAAGCAAAACATCAAACAGATGGACTGAAACCTTTCACCAGCAGCTGTATTCTGTTAACTCTTAAGTAAGCCTGAGGTTAGGGAGAAAAGTGAGGAAAGGGATTATGAGAGACTTTTTGGGGTAAACTTATGGAGTATGACAAGGTATAGGGGAAGAAAATTGCAGCCAGCTGCTTAACAGAAAATAGTCTTTGCCTAAGCCCAGGGCTTTCTGCCTGCTGCCATTTCAAAGATATCTTATGGTACCATGTCTCATCTGATCTTGTCAGGGACATGGTTCTTCTAGCATGAATTTGACATGGTGCTAGAAAGAACTCTGATGAACCCCAGCTGTGTTACTATCTTCACTTATCTTTTTTTAAAAATCACATTCTCATGCTAGTCTTATTTTGGAGAAACACAGAACCAAAACATTCAGTAAAATATCAAACAGCTGTCCAAGTCCAATTTAAATATCACAATACCATTGGGTCCCATGAGACTGCTCAGGGCGAATACTTAATTTCAGCCTGAAGTGTTCCATGAATTAGGGATCACCACAATTTTGATCCTCTCTCCACTTAAATATTGAATAGAATATAGTGTAGGCCCCAAGAGCAGGCATCAAAGGAAATTCAAGTAGCTCAGAGAAACATGCAGAGCCATGGTGTTTCTTTTGTTAATTTTATGTTTAATGATTCATAACAGGAATATCTTTCTATGTCAAAATGAAAGGCTTCCTGGGTTTGATACTGTGTGAAAACCCTACCTGAAGTTTGGAGTTAAAGTCAACTGTGGTACTGTAGCTATTGGAACTGTTACAAAATGGAGATACAGACATAAGAGGTAGTATTCTAAATATTTGGCTAAAAGATACAATGAAATTGTGACTGTAGCCTGAGGGACAGAAGAAAATGTCTGGTTTTAAAATGAAAATACACAATGTTAATATAGTGCAACCTTTTTGCTGTAGAATCTATTAAATCCTCTAGTACACTGTTTTACTCTAGTATTTTGTTTTTTACAATTAAGAATGTAACCTTTTTACAAGAGATTTAAAAAGTTAAGTCTTGTTGTTCTAAAGTAAAGGCATGCTGCAGGTCACAACATATCCTTTCTGACAGTGATTAACTTCAGTGCACTTTTAAGTGAGGTTACAGGCTAAACACAAAAGTTATACTATTTAAAAAATGCAAAATATATGATTGCTAGATACGTATTTTTTAAAGTGTGATTAACATTCTTCATAAAAAGTCAAGAACAAGACCATAAACTGATATGTCTCCAAGATATATTAAAACTTGTTTACCAAATCTACCAAATCGACGTAAAAATACATTATCTTCTCTAAACAAAAAACAAACAAACAAGCAAGCAAGCAAACAAACAAACCACTACAATGCGGTTTACATTCTCTAACTTATGAAACACAAAAATTACATAAGGTATTGTGACACTTGTGCCATCAGATGTATAAACAAGTTCCACCATCACTACTTGAACTATGCTGAGTCTCATCTAATTCTGCTTAAAACAACAACACAATGAAAAATGTCATCCCACTGGACCATCTGACAAAGTCCTTGCTTCGTAAACTACTAAATACTAGAAGGCAGTGATTTTTGGATATCTTGAGGCAAAGTACAGTTGAAAACAGTAATTCTCTAAGTTTCAAGCAAAGTAGTTTGCCGGTGTGGTGGGTTGACTCCAGCTGGACACCAGGTGCCCACCAAAGCCACTCTATCACTTCCCTCCTCAGCTTGACAGAGGAGACAAAGTGTAACAAAAGGCTCATGGTTCAAGATACAGACATAGATCACTCACCAGTTTCTGTTGTCGGTAAAAAGACTTGACTTGGGGAAATTAGTTTATTACCAATCAAATCAGAGTAGGATAATGAGAAATACAAACCAAATCTTAAAGACACCTTCCCCCCCCCCTTCAGCTTAACTTTACTCACAATTTTCTCTACCTCCTCCACCTAATGGCACAGAGAGGTGGGGAATGGGGGTTGCAGTCACTTCATCACAGATTGTCTGTGCTGCTCCTTCCTTCTCAAAGGAAGGACTCCTCACACTTCCCCCACTCCAGCATGGGGCCCCTCTCATGGGAGACAGTCCTCTACAAATTTCTTCAGTGAGTTCTCCCCATGTACTTCATAAACTGCTCCAGTGTAGGTCCCTTTCATGGGGTGCAGTCCTTCAGGAACAGACAGCTCCAGTGTAGGTCCCCCACAGGGTCCCGAGTCCTGTGAGAAAACTTGCTTCAGTGTGGGCTCCTACTCTCATGGGTAGACTTTTTGCTACATCAATGCTGGGATAGTACTGCCAACTAAAATTCTCTAATTATAACCAAAGACGCTTGGACATATTATGAACAGTAGAAATGGATAATATGGCCCAAATACTACACTACTTCAATACCACAGTCCATAGGACACTTCTGAGACAAAAATGTTAAAAAAATATACCCATCTGAATGCAAGAAACAAAGTCCATTATTCTGGATGGATACCAGCTACTGCTTTGATACATGCCAGTAAAGGGCAGGAGGGTTTAGAAACAGAGTTAACAGGCTGTCCATGCTATCTGTAATCTTTAGGAAGCCATGAGCTTTCCAAAAGACCAATCAGTTAAGCTTTCAGAAGGGTTATGATAATACGCAGGTTAAAAGTTCAAGTTAAAAAGAAAAAGAGAAAAAAGTAAAACCAGAAGCCTGTATGTTTTATCAAAAGGCTGAACAATTTGTTTCATTAAGTAGAACCTGCAAAAGACAAATAAAGTCCCTTAATGTTAACATGCCACATGACACATAGCAGCTACCTTTTACTTCCAGTTACATGGGCAATAAGGCCAGAAATCCTGCATATTTTAACTTCATTTAGAGTTCAGGCCAAATGACAATTTACCCAGTGATAAAGAGAATGAGTGTGGTGGTCTCACATATCTTTGCAAAAGAATGAAAGAACCAACAGAGATGCTAGCCCTCTGCTTGTACCCTTACCAAGCCAAAGCTATCCAAAGCACCACCTCTACCTAAGAAAGGTAGGGTTTTTTAGCGTAGTTGGGTCAGAAAGAATTTTGTATTTACACAGAGCAAAATGATAAAATAACCATTTAGTAAAATTTATTCATATGAGTATGAAAGCCATGTAGCATGTCTAAGCAACAAGTTTTCACTGACTGAATACTCTATTAGGTGGTGATAAAAAAAGTGGCCATAATCACGTATTTAAAAATACACTAAATACTTTTCCTGTTTACACAAATTAAAGCAGTGAAATGAGCTACAAACAGAGCATCGTGATGACCATAAACAATACAGGCACAAATAATCTTCAGTATATAGTTAGATCTGAATCTACTATATTCCTTATATTCAATATTATTTTCCTACAGGACAAAGAACTCTGAAGTGACTTTTTGCATACTGTCAAGTGAATGATGTATTTCCATTCAGAATCATTCTCTCTCTAGGATTTTATTATTATAATTTTTATTCCTGGCCTACTGCTAATCCCATTTCTTCAATCCTCTAGCAATTCGTCATATGAAGGATGAAGGCATAAACACACTTAGAGAACAGTGTTTCTATAGCAAATAAGGTGTTCTGTTTAGAATCAAGGTCAGTAGCAAGACATTAAGATAAGGAAGCAACAGTTTAAGAGCAAAGTGTCCCATCATTCAATACATGGTTTTACTACATTTCTAATATTTCCTTTTATCACCATATATCAAATGGTTACTCAGGCACTGTGTCTCTAAGAATGATTTAAAGTATTTCCCATTCATGCAGAGGTTTAGAATTTACATACAACTGTTTGGGAAACAAAAAGTCTACCTCCACTGCTGTTTCCCCAGTAAAAGCAGGCATTTACATTTGTGCAGCTTTAATTAAAGTTTAGAAAAAGACAGTACACAGGAGATTAAACACCTTATCAAGAGTGAGTTTACAGCCTAAATGGAGTTGTTCAAGTGATTGAATAGAAGATTATGGTAGGTTAGCCGGGAAGGTTAACAACTCAGACAAGCCAGCAAGCAAGGAACATGAATGGGATGCAACTTCCTTTCTGAAATGCTACAGGCTTTCAAAAGAAAAAAAGAGCAATCAAGCTTTACATGTCCAATAAGTCTGCACAAATCTAAAGGACATTCTTTACAGTGGTGTACAGTAGAAAGATAAGAGACCATGGACATAAATGAAAGTTACAAAGGTTCACACTAGTTAAATGCTCAGGGGACAGTCAGGCATTGAAACAACTTTCCCAGGCCCATACATTCTCCCTTGTTTAAGGTTTAAGACCAGACCCAGTGAACACCTAAGCACATTGCTATGACTTTGCTTGGAGAAAGATGTTGGCTTAGAAGACATCCTAAGAACCCTTTTATCTGAATTACTTTAGGATCTTAAGCTAATTAAACTCAGTTTTAGCCTATGCCAAGCCTTACAGTGGTAATTTTAAATAAACCTTTAACATAGCAGGTTGAAAATATATAAAGTTTATAGAAAATCAAGTTGTTTTCAAATGTCAATGAAAGCAGTGTGGAACATATGTGAAGATTCATGTTCTCAAAAGCATACACCAACAACACACATAAGATGCCCCAAAATATTTATTCATTTATCTCTTAAAAAGTACATTACTCTTTAGAAAAAAAGCCTAAGAAATCTCAATACAGATTAAAGTATATCAAATCCCGCACATTCTTAATTCTGATGTTTAAGTATACATCAGTACCATCAAACCAAGCAAGATAAGACTTCTGAAGTCAGTAGCAATGAGGTACTGGGACAGAAGAAACCCTTAATACAAAGAGGTGCTTCAAAGCCTTTGAGCCAGGCAGAGCCAGAGTTCTAGAATGCATTCAAGAACCATGAAATCTCTCTAATCCTTTTGATCTTCATATGCTGCCAAAAATGCATGAGTGTTATAACAAAGAAATAAGCATCTCAGTATACAGTTACAAACTGGTAAGCCAGTTCATCAGTTCAAAGTAGGCAAAAAAGCACAGCACCGTTCTAAAACTGAAAGAGATAGAGCTTGGGGCAGGGGGGTTGACAGGCTAGCATGAACCAATTAAGCTATTTCCTTGAAGACGTCTCTCCTTCCTCATGGTATTCAGAACCATCTCAATACAGAAGAAGGAAGGAAGTTCATTATCACAGGACAGTAAGGTATGTACTTTTTGCACTCTTGGTAAAGTTTTCAGTGTTTAGTGCAGGAAAAAGTCACTGAATGTTTATTTCTGGATGTGCACACAGGTGAGTTTACCATAACTATGTGCCAGCAGTACAATTGTATCATTAATGTGTTTCATATGTAAAGTATTAGCTGAAAATATTCTGCCTTAAATGGCTGGAGATGCATTTTTGTTAGTATCTCCCCATGTCTTTCCCTTGTTAAATACAATAATTTAACCATCTTGGTTTTACTTAGTGGTAAAAGCCATCTATTCCACTCAGTCCTAGTGATCACAGTAGGAAAGATACCTCCCATCTGTCATTGGCTCCTTCAAGATTTCTAGGATGTTTCAGTCCGGGAGAACTAGCAATGAGACAGACCCTCACAGTGGGGGATAATAAATAGGGACAATTGTGCAGGTGAGAAGGCTAAAGTGGGACATGACTGGTGACAAAGGAAAAGTTTACTTTAAAGGTGCAAGTGTCTATTCAGCTAAAACCTTGACAAGTGAGTCCTATTTGGAATGTAGCATATGTCATAGAAGCACTGAATGTTGTCTTTGTTCCTTTTTAGGAGTATAAACACTACCTTATGTTCTCAAGTAAGAAGATGCTAATCAGACTTAGATGCAGTCGCTTAAGCAAGTGGAATGATAATGCACAAGATACACAGTTTCATGCTAAACAAGAATATGTAAACACCCAAACGAGTCACCAATTCAGATAGTACCAGACACCCCATATGGATTGTCACAACGCAGCACCATAGCAGCATTTTGATTTAAGGAACAGTCTTGCTGCTCATTCCATCACATTTACTTAACAGTGGTAGCATTAGCAGCACTGTGATTTACTCTCTGCTTTCAATGGGTCTAGGTCCAGTTTTGGTTTCCCCACATCATTCTCTTCATTAGGAAAGGTTTTGTAGTTGGCAAGGATGTTTTCCACCAAGAATCGAGCAGCTTCGTCTATGTTGATGTTGTCCTAAAGATGTTAAAAGCAAAGAATTCAGTGATTTTTTTGAAATAGTCACACATTCCTATTAAAAAGCTGTCCAAAACGAAAAACTGTTTTGCTGCAGTTTGGATGCACTTATAAAAGGACCTCTTCTATGAGCCTCAAAGCCACAACTATTTTCAGGTGCTTCATCTACCCACTCTACATATTCTTATGCATGCTTTGAGAAGTACCTTCACATACACTCTAAAGAAGGTCTGTATGCAGAATACCTAGTGATGTGCTTTGTCAGGATATCCCAGTTACTGAGGGTCTAAGCTGGCCCTAATACCAAAGGGTCTTTGGCCACAGGTTTGACCTTGCAGGGCCACCTGTTACTTCACCACAGGGCTGCCATGTTTGGAACTGCTCATCTTTGGTTCTAAAGAAAATACCAGCCCTGTACACTCTTCTGTTTCTCTAATTGTAAATCTAAACTCTACATGAGCAAGGTTGGATCGTAAGAACATTTGACCCATCACTACTGCACTTTACAAGCTTGTGATTGTCAGCCACAAACTGCTTTTGGCAGTTTACAGATAGGCACTTTTCTCTGCCCAGAGCGGAGAAGGATTCTCTTCATTTTTGTGTAAAGATGTCCATAAGATATTTCTATGAATACTTATACTGTCTGCAGTTCTTTCACTTTTCATATTCTTCCTACAGAGTGGGACCTGTATTACTGAAGACTAGACTGAAGATTCAAGTATCAGTTACAGCAGAAAGGCAAAAGCAAATTAACAAGGTATTGAAGTGAGCAGGACTTGAAACCATAAACTGATTTGGCATACTCAGAAAACAAGAAAGCTGTCCTGCATTTTTGCTAAACTCTTTTAACTACACCTCTTCTGCATCCTAAAGTCAATTCATAACTGAGCTATGACTTATTATCTCGATTTTCCTCTGCACCAAGAACCTTGTTTTATACCATCATGTCTTAAATGCCACCTAAAATGCAAGCTATCACTACACTTTCACATTAGGTTTTGTTCCAATGTTACTTGCATTTATTTTCACCCCATGATGAAGCTTATAAATAGCAGTGTTATGGGCAGATAAAGCTTCAGGGAAGACGTAACCCAAAGCAGAACCTTGGTATTCTTTTTGAGTATAGAGAGCCTTAAAAAATGAGGTTTTAGTTTTTAGATGAGTGAGTTTGCAAATATTTGTTCCAATGCAATCAGATTCTTAGCTAATTTAACTATTCTTTTCCCTGTGTGTCCTTCCTTATTTCAAAGTGATCAAGAAGCAACTTTTTACTTTGTTTCCAATATTCTTCTTACAGACTTTTCTTTAAAAGAGTTGTTGAAGCATCATTGTGTGGCCATTCAGCAGCAGCAGCTACAGAAAGTAGACTAGCCAAGGGAAAAGTGGGACCTTGAAGCTTGGCTTACTTTGTAAGAGCTATCAGCCAGATCAGTAATCTGGTCTGTCAGCCACAGTCTTGATCTAGAGCAATCTTTCATTTTAAGAATCAGTTGAGCTTTAAGGAAATGCTGGATTTCATTTCCAACTAAGCTGCCGCAAGTTTCTCTCTGCATCGATAAGTCCACAGACTACAACTGTACAGTATATGAAATCCCTCAAAGTTAACTGTTTGAATAAAGCAGCTGTCTTTCTTAAATTGCTATACAGAACAATTTGTTTTGCATCCAGTTCAGTCTTGACATTGCCTGATAAAATAGAAAAGTGCTTTAGCAACGCTGTGGGTAGGTAGTGATAAGTGAGCAAACTTTACTTCAAGTCTTGCCATTTCCTACATACAACAGTGAAGACAGAAGTTATAATTTTAAAAACCGCACCTAAAGATTACCTGTATCTTTTAGATAGTTTGATCAGCGTTTAGTAGGGTTAAAATCTAAAGAATGACTCTGATCCTCATGCATGCAAGATGAAAAAACATATCAAACTCAGATAATCAAGATCTCCAGAAAGTTTTAAGGGTCTCTGAACTTAAGATGCAGTTCTAATCTAAACCAAATATGCCCCATCTTCCTCAGGAGTGAAGCTAGCCTGCACAACACTTCAAACTTTTGCTAAACACTGGAGATTTGACTGTCATTTCCTATACATAATTTTATTTCCTACGTGATTATATTCATCCATTCTTATGCCAATACTCAAGAGACTAAAAACATGTTTTTATTATGCTCACCTTGGCAGATGTTTCAAACCATCCAACAAAGCCACCTTCTCTGCAGAACTGGTCCATCTGAGAGGGATTCTGGCTGCCATCTTTCTTCTGGTCACACTTGTTTGCAAGAAGAACAGCAGGGATAGGGCTGCCATTGGGAAGTAGTACTTTACTGTCCAAATCATGCTTCCATTTTGTAACAGCCTCAAAAGTGGAGCCTCTTGTGACATCAAAGACCACAAAAGCACCAACTGCCTCTTTGTAGTATACTCTGGTCATATTTCCAAAGCGCTCCTGGCCTGAAAGAGAAGACAGTGATCAAGTATATTTATATTGAAGCATGAACTGTATTCAGTGTAAATGGACTACTGTACCAGCTTAATTCATAAGTTTGGCATTTGGGTCTAGTCATCTAGTTCATAAAACACTGCCTCTTTTATCCTATGTCATCATGGCTAGGCTTCACGAACAAAGATTTAGGTATATGTAAGTTCATTGTAACAGCCATTATATATATTACATCTGACAAGTCAGGTGCTAAAGGTAGTTTGCAATCCCAACTACCACTTTGAATTTTTTTTAAACTTATTTGTTGAGTAGTGTTCTTTGAGAAGTAATGCCTAAAACACTACCAGCACAGCTATACACAAATCATTCTTTCATCAAAAAATATCAAGGTTTATATCCAAATCTAGTTACTTCAGCTACAGATTTAAGCAAACTCAGCCTTTTGCTGAAGGGTGAGCAACAAGGGTTTCTGCAAGCTTCAAGGCTAACAGCCTTCAAAGCATCTTCTGAAGAAGTCACCTATATTTTACATTTTTCCTGCGGGATGAGTTCAAAAGGAGCTAGCTTAACAGTTCTAGCTAAACCTGTTATCTTTTACTTCATCTTTTAATCCTAAGATTTTCTCTGGATCATTTTCCAACTATAGAAATTCTACAACAATCCCAGGATTTCAAACAAGATTATTGGAATAGTTAAAGTACGATTAATCACAATGAAAATGCAGAAAAAAAAAATCAATCATCAGTGAGTAGAGTAAAAAAAGCCTTTTCTTATTAAGAACAACTATTGTAGTCAGTATACTTGAAATGTAGAATTAGAGTGTGCCAGTTCAGTTATTCTTCTGTTTGGGCAGTCAGGCCATGATGATGTGTTTTTATACTTGAGTGTATAAAACTTGAGTGTCTATAAACTTGAGTGTATACTTGAGTGTCAAGTCCTAGCATGTTGTTTTGGAAGTTTGGGCTACTAAAATAGCTTCCTGTTTTGTTTGGAAGACTTCATTGGGAAAAGTAGTCCCTGCACTTTATGATGTAGGTTTACAGTATATCATGACTTCAGTTTTTATCACTTAGTGAATATGAGGTTTTGCAATACATAGAGAAAGTAGGAATTGTATTTGGAAACCTAGTTGTCCTGTTTATAAATGTTCAAGTCCACCTTTGATTAGCAAGGGCAAACAGATACAAGGAGAACTGGGCGTTATCTTCTCATAAGGAGCCAGAAATTCAATAGGTGAAGGAACTTCACAAGGGATCCTGTTCAGCAGCATGCTTTCCTAGCTAAACTGTCTCTTTTTAATATCAGTACTTCGGTGTATGATTAGCTCATTCCCTACAGACATTTTCTGAAAAGGTTTCCTAAGCAGCTGTTAGAATTGCCTGAAAGCAGCAGCAGCTGCAGTAAATTTCCAGAGAACTATGAAGAAGCTGACTTGATTTCTGGCTGTTCCCTTTAAAGTACGATGCTGCATAAAACAGCATCGGTAGATAGCATATTCTTCAGAATGGAAATGACACATGAATTACTTCACTACCAGCTAATTACTGCATATGAGAACAAGCAGCATCCAAAGGAAAGCTCTGATGTCCCTATTCAAAGCTCAAGTTTTGAGGCAGAATTTATGCCATGGATTCTAAGGCCAGGCACCAAGACTGCATCTCTGAGACTATGACACTGGAAGAGCCACATTGCTAATACAAGTCTCCTAAAGAGTGTATACAAGTAACTCACTTTGTCTCCCTAGGTCTTTCCAGGCTGGACTCTTACGCCTAAAAGGCATTTTTAGTATAGCCTTACTACAAACTGTTGTACCATGTGACCACAGTTTTCACAAATCAAATACCGTTAGCAAAGAGTTAGACCAGAAGGTTTTTACTACTTCTGGAGGCCAATTGTGTCACTTCCAAAGAAGCTTTACCTTTCAATTGTGGGGATTTTGTTGGTTTAGGTTTTTTTAATGGAGTTCTACACTCAAATTTAGTTATATTAAGCCAGTCACTGCATAGGGTACCGCATAAGCAATGAGGAGCTCCTTGTAAGCTTCCCCTTTGTTTAGCTGTCAGTCTAACCACCAATTCCTGCCATTTGGGAACACTTCAGACTATGCTAAAGTGTTTGAGTCCTGTGTCCAATTCAAGTAGTATATCCCTTCACATCATAGGACAGATCCACAAAACAAACAAGTGTAATCTCAAGGTCTACAATGCTCTATACCAACTCAGTCTTCTACAGAAAGAGTTCTTCAGCCCTGAAATGGTGCAGAAATGAACACCACTTGCTGTTATTTACATGAGACTGAACATGAATCTGAAGCAGCAAGGGAAACAGTCTCATTAGTCCTCCCTAAATGTAAATCAGGTTGTGCTGCTAACTTGAAGACTCAGGAACTCTAGAATAATGCAGATGCCTTGTACAAGGTTAGCCTTGTACAGTGGTTTTTCTCAATGAGTACGACAGCAGTTTTGGTAGGAATGCAAGCCTGCGGGGACTTTGTACTCTATAGCAACCACTTTAGAGACCGTGGGCTTCAGCTGTCCAGAACAATCATTTAAGTATTATTTCCAGCAGGCTTTATTGATAGAATTTAAAACTCTTATAGTACTCTCTTACAGTTTTAGGTTTGGAAAAACATTAATACATATTTTTCCACAATTTTAATTTGAGTGAAAGTAGAAAACTTACGTGCATTATCAGCATGAAAGCTTCTATCTTTATGTATAAGATTTAAGCTTTATGTTAGAAGGATTTAATATCTCCCTTAAACACACATAAGCTCGATATCATTGTATTTTTAGAGATAAATGCCTTTTAATAGGTCAGATACAGCCCAGTATGAGTGCTGCCTTTTCTAAAGTAACCCAAACTCCAAACCAGTTTATTACAGAGCTGTTTTCACCTCTAGAATTCATTCACTAACAAGAAGTCTGACCTGAATACTAGCTTACAACTGCTTTTCCATCGTGTCTGGAGGCCTAATGAGGATGGATATACTCTATTTCACAGAAAGAAGACAGAAACAAGAGGTAAGAGTTTTGTTTAGTAAAAGGTATATGGCATGAGGCAGGAAGAGAATTCCATTTCAACTAAGAGGAATTTCTTTACAATTGTGTCACTACTGACAATGCACACACTAAGCTTCTTGTAGGGGGATGAAGAGTATTCAAGACCGCCTTTTGAAAATTTAACAGGACTTTCAGGCAGAGCTTTTGCGAGTGCTTTTTTGCTTGCAAAAAAACCCAAAAAAACTCATACAGAAAAAGCAAACTGTAGAACACACTACTCCTCCAAAGTCAAGTCTGATCATCATTCTCTTTGTTCTTAAAACTAAATGTCTCAATTTCTGCCATGCACAGTTAAGAGATTTGTTATGCCCCTTCCTATGTCCAGCAGGATGTTTGCTGTACTCATTTCACCATGTGTGACAATAGTCTTGAGCAATGCAGAAAGAGGATCATACCCCCAGAGGAGAAAAAGGCTAAAATTGATCAGATTAAACTAGACTTAAAATCTCCAGTGTGTATAAACTTGGAAAGAAGAGGGAAGGAAGAAAACTACTTGCTTACTACAACAGTATAGAAAGGACATCACAAGACCAACTATTCTGGTAGGTCTACTGCCTTGACATAAACCTGATGATACCACAAAATATACTTTGTGTTTTAGGGATTCAGGTATCATTGAGGAGCTAAGCTACGGGACAGTCACAGGGATCAGAGGTTTTATTCAGAGGTGTGGAAATGACTGCATGCTATGCAAAGTTTTGTGTTCTCAACCACAAAATTTTCACATCTAAATGACTCTGCACATATCGTCACCATATTGTCCAGTAATTGCAACAACCTTAAGTGAAATACTTGCACAATGACATACACCAGGAACTAATACAGTTGCCTACAGCAACACTACAGGAATAAAGTTGAGTTTAGAACTGTATCAGAATTTGGGAGCTATTATTACTCTCCAGTTTACATTGTAATGGGGGATAAATTGTAAGTTAAAAACTACATGAAAAAAATATGGCCAGGTTTGAAGCTTTATCTTTGTCCCTTACTTCACAGCAAAAGATAAGTTACCACTGTAAAAGTCAAAAAGAGTGTCAACCTTGCCTTGAAGTGAGTGTATTTTAAAGAGTTTTTACAGCAATCTTTCCCAGTGTAAGGGAGAAACAATAGTGTCCTGTTTATTACAGAAGTGACTTATTGTGGCAGTTGTTTCCTATAGTTAACAAAATATACCCTACAATCATACCATTATTTCTGCTCTTAATTCTTCCTACATGATGGGAATCAGGGCTAGAAAAAGCAATTTAAATGTAAAAGTGACTGTTCAATATGCACAATATTGAGTTTGTCAGGGTCCCTTCTCCCAAATTACTTACTATATCTGTAAATCTTAATATGTAGTTTATATGAACTAATAGAATTTATTCAAAGAGCATAAAAGGGCCTATCTAGAAGAAGCTTCCCCAGCTATTATTTTTGTTATGAAGGTGACTGTTGCTTTACCTCTGTCAATACCAACAGTATAGCAAGAGTCCCCCTACCTTGTAAAAAATCTAAGCTTAATCTTATCTGAAGCCACACAACTCAAAACAGAATTGTTTAGTTGAATTTAAACTCTTAATATCTCATCCAGAATACCGATGGACAACTGGACAAAGTTCTTCAAAGTTCTTATCTCGCAGATGTGACTAATAGTTTTGGAATCCTCTAGAAGCTGTTTCATTAAAGAGGAAGAAAAAGATGACCAAGGGTTATAAAACCCTGAAAACTGGAAAAATTATGGAACAAATAGGTTTTTTTCCATCGAAGCAACATTAGTTCAAGTCATCTTTAACAGGCTTATCAGCTTAATGGGTAGCCAGAGCTCAAAATATTTTTTTAACAAGTTTGGCAGTTCCACATCAAATAATCTTAAACCACAGAGGTATAGTCTAGTCTATGTTCCCCCAAAAGTCAATATGCAACTACCTGAAGAGTTTTACTCCAAAGTTGTTTGCTGCTGTGTTGAC